GCAGTGTCACAGCATTACAGCTGACAGCACTGTGCTGTCATACAGATTTATGTTTTGTAAAAACATATCCATGACTATTACAGTTGTGCCTCCAATGACTATTATATTTGTGCCTCCAGTGGCCAATACTCTTTGCTCTTACCTAGTTATAAATAACATTAGAGGAAACAGAACTACAACATTAGCAATGGATTAGTGCATAACTAATAATTTCTTTTAAAATGTTAAGAATTTTCTTTCATTTAGCATCTTTATACTTTCACAGACTTGAGAGGGGCATATCCAGGGCATATCCAGCCTTTCCAGTACCGTCTTCAAAATAAACTCGGAGGACTTTTAACATGGAAAGAAAGATGTAATATTGCTATTACACCTAAACAAGGTTTTTCTGTGCCCATTCTTGTGAAGAAACATATTGATTTGACATTCATCTGGGAAAAAATAATGACTAAAAAAGGTTAATATATGAGTCAGTTGCAGACACAAATCACGCAGCTATGAAAGGTTGTTGCTTTTTAAGTTCTTTTTCAAAGATGCTTGCAGAGACCATAGAGAAAAAGATTTAAAAGACCCTCTTTTAAGACTGAGACACAGAAAAGTCTATTGACTAAAGTGTATCTATTTCTGCAAGGGCAAAATGGGCAGGCTTTTTGATAACCATCTTAGAAGGTTTTTGTTGCACTTGCCTTTGTCTCTGGTGGAGAACTGGTGGGGGGAGCTACCACACTGCCACCTCCCTCCCTAGGCCTTAGTGGCTTGGGAAGGAAGGGCTGTTCCCTACCCCACTAAGCTGAGACCTGGCAGTGTGGGAAGGAAGAATTTTTTGAAGGTATTGATTCTCCTGGTTATCACTGCAAGTCTCCTAGTAGCCAAAGTTTAACTTAGCAAGTCCTTTTGCCTAGGTAAGATCTAGAAGTTTGTGAGATCTTCAGCTGTGAAATTATTTTTTTTTATATAAAATACATTTTTTAATACTCTTGTTGCTTCGGAATGCAGCTTGCCTATATGATCCAATACCTTTTAAGGGTTGAAAAACAGAATGCAAATAAACAGACTGTTTATTTTGAAAATTTATCTTTTAGTGTTCTCATATTTTGTTTAGATTAGCAATGTTGTTGTCTAGAAAGACACTTGACAAATAAGTGCCTCACATAGTTACTTTGGCTGTTTTACATATGTAATCAGTAGAAGAGGAGAAAGCAGAAGCAGTGTGTGTATGTGTCCTTCCAAAACCTGTGAATCTTTAAATGACTAGAAATAATTGGTTCCTTCTACAGCAATTGGTTGCTATGCCCACTAGTTTACAGTGGGTTGGTGATTAGATCTATAAAAGATTAATTTTCCATATAATACTTCTGAAACGACTTGTAATGCACAGCTATTCTTTTTTGCAGAGCTCCAGGGCTTTTTTAACCTGTGTTCTACAAAGAGAAACTGATTCAAGGCAGTGGTTGTGCACGTGCAGATGTAATCTAATCTTGCATGGCTGTCCGTTCAATGCAGCTGGATATTATGGGGAAGATGATCCTTAGGTCATCTCCTTTTTGCTTTGTGCTTCAGAGGCAGGTCTGCAGAGGGTTTCTTGGAAGTGAGCAAAAAGACAAGGGTATGCTAAAATCTTTTCACAGGGTTGTGAAGGTTTATGCGAGTAATAAAGGACTGGCTCATATGTAGGGTTGATGAACTAGGGACAACAGGAGGGATCTTGACACCTCAGCTCTCCTGTCCTTTCTCTCTTGTGGGAAATCATCTCTGCTTGAGGAGTGGTTTTGGTGTTTCTGACAGATCAACAGCCACAGTTTGAATAGGCTGTGCTTTAACATGAACCAAAAATCAGCATTGCTTTTCCCGATTTCATCAGGCTATAATATCTTAAAAGGTTCAGTAGCTGCTACTCAGGGAGGTGAGCCTGTGTGGAGAGCAAACACATATGCAACTCCCAAGAGAAGCCAGTGCAGGTAGAAATACAGTCCAAGGATAACTGAGTGGACTATGAGGGAAAAACTTAGTAAATTAAAATCATACCAAGAATGACTGAGAGACCCAGTGTGGCAATGGAGTGAGGGGGATGTAATGACCATGGAGTGATGATGTAGATTTTTCAAACAGAAGCATGAGCTCAGAGACATCATTTTGTTTTGAAAATCTCCTCCTGTTGCCCTGGTACAATTATTTCCAGCAAGTCCTCTCTTACTATCTATCGTTTCCACCACATACATTACCCTCCTATTTACCAAATAGACAAAACAAAAAAGGCGGTACTGATCTCCTATTTATTGGAAATTACTTGTCTATCGAATATTGTGCTAACTTCCCACAGTATTGCCTGATCACTAGCAATATATTTAGTTCCTGCACATTCTGTTTAAATGTTCAAGATTATTCCTATCTATACCTTCTTATTATGTATGTATTGTATTAAAACAAAGTTATACTCACCTTATTCTTGTTCATTAGAGTAAATATGCATAATGTATATTTCCTTGACTAAATTCAGAGTTAATTATGTCAACATTCTAGCAAATCAGTACTATGCATCCTCTAACTTTTCTTCGGTACCAAAAAAAGGTGGTGAAACTGATAAGAGTGGGCTAGACAGGGCAAGAATTAATTGAATGTCAGTGAGGAATTACCTTAATCATTATGCAAATGCCAGAGTTGTGATAAAGCCCCTTCCCCATCCTGACAGGTCCATACCAGTAGTTTGCAGAGGTGATGTCAGAGTCCAGTCCTCTCTGAACAGGTTCCTTTTGAGTCCCCATACATGGAAGGCTGCATGTTTGATACAAAATTTACTTATCTGAAATTTTCCGAAGTTAGTCAGGGAACATGGAGGACGAGGTGCTCCCAACAGAACAGGAGCTGAGACCCATGGGCAATAACCTGACTGGCATGACAGAGGCCTCGTGAGTCAGGGCTTGTGGTGATGAGGCAGGTCCGCAGGATGGGATCAGGCCCTATGAAGGTAACCAGTCAGACATAGCTCTGGGATGACTAGATGGGGCCATGGGGACAGGCCAAGGCTAGGTCAGGCTGTCAGCCCATGTTGTGATTCTACTATGTACTTAAATCCCAATACAAGTGAAAATTACACTTAACAGAGTAGAGCAACTGAAATATAAAAGTGAATCACTTCACAAATATGTTTCTCCTTGTCCATCACTGTAATATGCTCAACTGTCATGACACTGGGCATTCCCAGCTGCTGAGACTGAATATGTAGGTTGCAAACAGTTCAAGACTGTTGCTCTTCTCCAAGTTCTTTTTATTTGTTGTTTAGTATTCATGGGCCACATACACACCCAGACACCCAGACCTGGTCTGTCTAACTCGGAAATGATTTGCACTTTTTTTATTAACTTGGCGACAAACAGTTACACAGCTGGTTGGTTCACTCGACTAATGCAAGCATTTATCTAGAACAGAGGTCACCCTCCAGTCCCCTTCATGCTAAGTTCAGCTTTCTTTGCAATATCTATGGTCAGTTACTTCATATGCTCTTCCCTGACCTGTCTTGGTGGTACAGAGTTCTTGCTGAAGCTGAATTCCTATAGAGCTGCATAGGAAGTTGATCTATTCGTCTCCCAAGAAACAAAAGTATCTCTGTTTACAGAACCTGGTATGGTTTTATTTGCAAAGCAGATTATTATTCTTCTGTCATTCTGCATGTGTATGTTTCTCCTTTTACCTCCCACGCTTATTTAAAGAAAGAAAAAATGTGGTATTTATATGCAATCTGGATGAACACCAGCTCAATGCTGTTGGATGCCGGTGTGCTCTGACTTACACCTTCCATTTTAAGCTATTCTCTAGTAATAGAGCGGTTTTTCTAGAAACTAACTTCTCAGCAGTGATACCAATTAATTTTATTGGATTAAATTTGCTATTACTTGGTTCCTGTACTTGTCAAAGTAGTACCTAATAGCATGCTGCATGCTGAATCACCTTTAACAAAGAGCATTGCTCATTGCCAATTTAAGGGAGAGGGAGAAACAGCTGTAAGCTTTTCAAAAAAATATTGTAACCAGGCACCAGAATAGCTTTTAATGGGTTATTTTAATGATGAGAAAATCTGGAAGAGGTGACTTTTCAGCCTGATCTGGACACAAAACGTCTTTTTTTATCTCTTCAATTTGTGTGAATTTGTTAGTGAGGAACTCGCCCAACGGGTGTCTTCGTAATTTTTTTCATCCAAGGAGCTTGGAAACTGTTGTTGTTGTTGTTGATATATAACTTCCAATGAATATTACCACTTTGCAATAATCCAGAGATCAATCTTCGAAGCTAAACTGATAGACAACTTGATCACTGGAATTGCAAACTAATGCAAACTAAAAATACATTATAAATCCTTAGTAGTGATATTAATTAAACATTGGAAAAAATTACCTTGAGATGTGGGCCTCTCCCACTGCTTTAAGCTTCCTGTCTTTCAAAGAGGTATGATTCAGAAATTGCTTGTTGAGACGAGGCCATACTACTCCTTTCTTCTCACAGGGTTACTTGTAATTTTTTCTTCATTTCTGTTAGATGCTCCAAGCTCTTGAGAATAGCTATCACTGCCACTTAACAGGTGGAACTGGCAGAAGATGAAATTGTCCCTTCAGAAAGTGTTCTGGGGGAGAGTCCAAAAGCGGAGATTCAGAGTTCAATTTTCACTGCTTTGCTTAAATCCTGTAATATATAAAGTAGTCAGTTTTAGCTAACGTATTTGGTGTGCAATCTGCAAGTAGAAAATATGCTAAGACTCTTATCTCTTGGTTCTTCATTCAAAGAATGCTGCCATGGTGATGGCTGGTGCAGGCAGGACAAGAATTTGGAGAGTTGGTAAAGAAAGCTAGTATTCCAAGTAAGAACTTACACTTGATATTATCTTACAGACTTCAGATAGTGTATAAAACATGACTATTAAAAAATTTAAAAAACAACAGTACTTCATGCATGGATGAGCTGTTTCACAGGGAACAATTCAATTTAAATCATTTCTGTTGTTTTTAAAGGCAGCAATGGAGAAGCCAATTAATCATCGATTGTTTGTGACAAGAATTTTGCAGGAATTTGAGAGTGACACATTTTTTCCAGAAATCAACTACAAAGACTACAAAATTCTCACAGAGTAAGTACCAAGATGCTTACTAGTCTTGTGTTCAGATGGAAGACTTAAAAATCCAATTTCAATGTTTAAGAGTCCTATTAAGGCCGTATTCTTTTTTCAAGTTAGACGTGCTTTTCACTGTTTTTTTTCCATACAGTCATATTTTATTTAGAACCTGGAATTGCACCACACTCGGCACAGAGAGATAGTTGGAACTTGCTGCGTTCTTCAACCTTCCCATAATCTTTATAGTAAAGAATGGCATTTTTTGGTTTGCTTGAAAAGTAGCTTTCTTATTGTTTCTCACTTTAGAATTACTCAAATATTACCAAGCTTCATAACTCTCAATATGTCATTGTCAACGGTATTTAGCCTCTGAATGTCTTTTATAAAATGCCAAAGACAAATTAAATGGGTTTGAGCAGAGAGGGTTAAGCTTTTATAGATTTCTAAGGCTCTTCCTTTCTCTTGAGAAAATTACTTCTTCCTAACAAACTTCATAGGAGCCAGTATTAAATTGTAAGTTTCTGCCATTCACTGTGGTTTATTCTATTTTATCTTTGTCACAAAAGTCATATATACTCAATCCTCTCCAATAAGATTACATCCAACAGCAGTAGGGAGGTCGCAAAAATTCAAATGTCTGCCTCAAGAAGCAGCAAGGAAAGGACGTCTTCCTCTTCTTGCTGCTCCCATTTTGGTTCCCAGCTGGTTAGAGACCTGCGATGGAAGAATAGAAAGTCTGGCAAGTCAAGCTCTCTGCACAGGGCATGGGAATAGACTAGCACTGAAGTAGGAGAGAATAGGTAGGGGCAGGAAAGAAGGATGAGGAGAGACAGACAAGATGAGTGGGGGGACAAGTCACCTTCTTCAACACTAATGTTGTTCAATACTGAACAACACTGTGCCATATCGTGAGCCAACTTTAGTATCCTGATGTCTAACCCAAAGCTTCCCTCACTCCCTCTTGGCTGTTTCTCAGGTATACATTGGTTTTGTCCAGTGTACTGAAATCAGGATTTGGCCTTAAAACATGAATTTGTGAAATAGAAGATCATTCCCTCACTGAAGTGGATACCTGACACAATCAAACCTAGTGAATAAAATTTAAAATTTCTTTCTCTCTCAAAGTCAACATTACTTACACAAAATCCTTATTCTGTCACAGGGAGCTGAAGAGATTTTTGAAAATCTCTGTTAATAAAAACTGTTCCAGTAAATCTGGAATACAGGGGAACACTTTGTATGATAGCAGTGAGCTACTTTAAGAAGCTGTCATAGACTTGTAAGAAACCTTTACCTTAACATTTCCCCTAAACCATCTGAGAAAAAGCAAAGCAAAAAAACCCATAAGTGTTCTGTACCTCTTGTACCTTTGCAGACATTTTAAATAACATGTTGGAGGCTTTAATAAAAATGTTGGAGTTTTTTGATTAAGCCAAAAAGGGGGGGGGAAACATCAGAGTATGCTTTCTTGATTTAAAAGGATGTGCGTACAAGTTGCTGATAGTAGTTAACATGATTCCTGAAGATAGTTTGTACTTAGTATACCTGTTGTAAGGATGGTATTTTCATCTCCTTTTTCAAACAACTCTCTTTTCTAATTGATTAGATAAATTACAGGTGACTCATAATGATATTTTTAACTACTTGTTGGCTTTTCCTTTTTCTTCTCCCCTCTCTCCAGGTATCCAGGTGTCCCTGCTGATATCCAGGAAGAGAATGGCATCCAGTATAAATTTGAAGTGTATGAAAAAGCTGTCTCGGCACAATAAATGAGGCTTTCTGTACTTCTCTGTAAGGGCAGGCATTTCAAATCGTGAAGTCTTATTGAGTGCAAATATATATTAAACTATTGAGAGAAAATCCTGCTTGATAGTGCAATACTTCAGTAGTGAATTATTCCAAAAAAGCACCCCGCACTCTGAATATACACCCCTCAGTGGAAATATGAGGGTGATCAGCAGCATGAGAGAAGGAATCTTCTTAGTATTCCTAATTTAAGGAATATAAGGATATTACTTAGTAGCGCTAAGGAATACTGCAACTAAGGTTACATGAGGCCTTGTATTGATCTTTACAATCCCTAACAATTCCACGAGTGATGAAAGGCATTAGACTGCATCAGAACCTTTCTACCTAAACAAAGGTTTTGAGTATCTCCTTACTCAAAATGTCCAACATTGAGAAAGCATCAAAACTCCCAAGTTTGACTGGGATGGTATATACGTTTATAACAATCCTTAAAACATACTGGTGTAGAGTGAAAGGTAAACAAATTTGAAAGCATAACAGGAGAAATGGAGTCTGGAAGTCTCAGGCAGTGGTTGAGGAATACATTGATCTTTCATGGAAGTCCTCTCTTGTCATCTTAACCATCCTGGGTACACAGCCTACTTCAAGTTTTTTGGCTGAAAACACTGACTTACACATTAGTCTGATAAAGAAGTTTTAACATTTCCATTAACTTGCACCCATATAAAGATTTGCTGCTCTTATAAAAAGTTGCCAGGTCAGTTTGACCGTGGCTTCTTTGCAGTATAAGGATGTAAACGTTGCTTTCTTAACAGAATCTGCTTCTTATGTCCCTTTTAAATGTTATCAGTGCAGATGCAGAGTATTAATTTGTTGGTGTGATTTTGAATATTCACAGAATCACAGATCACAGAATCACCAGGTTGGAAAGGAC